GGGGGGGGGCAAGATGATGATGCGTGCTGGCGGGCGGGGGATGCAATTACATGCTACATACAGCACACAGGAGGTAGACGGGGACGTACACATGAACGCACACCCGCTGCTACAAAGTGACCTCGCACTGCAAACCAACCCCATGGACCTTGCATCGGGGACTGGGTTAGATCTGGCAACCTTCTTCGACCTCACCCTCCGCGGTACATGTGGCCGTTTTCCCTCCTCGTGGATTAAGCTGTGGGTTTTTGGTTGTTTCACAAGGGATTGCAATGTCCTACCGACGGTGTTGACCACCTTTTTCTCTTTTTTTCTCTTTCTTTTTTTCTCTTTCTTTTTTTCTCTCTCTCTCTTTTTTTCTCTCTTTTTTTTTCTTTTTTTTTCAGCCTAGACAGAGCACTTCCGCCCCCCCCCCCCCGGTACAAGCACACGCCGACACGACAGCTGGGCAGCAACGTTCGCGATAGTTCACCGTGCGGTAATTTCTTCCTTTGACCGCGTTCCGAAAATCACACAAAGACTGCTGCATGAAGGCTTGCAAAGTTTCTTTCTTGGTTCGTTGAAGCTTGCTGGGCTCTTCGGTTCAAATACATGTCAGCTGTGTCAGCTATTTAAGCCTGGGAAACGTCACCAACGTCTCCGTCGCAGCCCACAGCAGCTGGGCTGGTCCTGCTCCCTGTTTTTGTTCTCATCGTGCATTGCACTCATCTTGCATTGCACTTTGCTCTCATGAGCCGACTCCCGATGTATCCCTTGTACTTCTGAAGGCTAATCTTTTGCCCTCTTAAGAACAAGAACAAAAAAAAAAAATCTTCACGGCCTGTTTTCAGGGTGGTCAAGGTCAGGCAGGCCGTTTGCCCGCAAAGGTGGACGGCCAACCAACACATGGATGTATACAAGGGATCCCTCTGGAGTGGGCTCATGAGAGCACAGCAGTGCTATCAAGAGGGTGATGCAAGATGAAATAAAGTAGTAGCAGAACAAGCCCACAGCAGCTGGCTGCCAGCGCTACCAGTGTTGACATTTGCCAAGCTCGATAGTCCACACAGCTGGCGTGTTCTAGCCCCGCGAACCATAAACGAACTAAACATTAAAAACTTATGTCCAGTCTGTAGCTGATCGTTGTTGTCATCCCGTTTGTTGTGGACGTCGGTCCGAATATACCTTGCGGTACACCATTCCGGATGCGTCACGATGAAAAAATCCGATACATACCTTCTGGACGATGCGGTCCAGCAGCTCTCCGCCCTCCATGAGCTCGAGAGCCAAGTAGAAATACTTGGGGTCATCCTCGTAGAAGCCGTAGATGCTTACCACGTTTGGGTGGTTTAACTCGCGCATGATATTCGCCTTCGTGACGAGGGGATGGGCATGGGGGGGGAGGGGGAGAGAGGGGGCGTTGTCATGATTCCGCCCGAAAATGCCGCCGGTCATCGAAAAAGGACATGAAAGGGCGCAATTATCAAGTCGAAGCCAAACCTAGGGGCCGGCCAATTGGAAGCAAGCAACCCCTCGCTGGCACGTGGTCCATTGTGGTCGGTTCACCGCAAGTGAATACCACACACGTGCGTGGTCAAACTACGCACGTCGAACATCTGAAACCGGAAGCCACCCTGGTAGCCAGCGGTCAGGTTTTTGGGTAGGGTGGGCACGGACTACAACCTGGGGGGGGGGGGGGGGGGGGGGGG